CTTGACGACGAGGGGCCGACCACTCAGATTTTTGGAGTCCATGGAATGTCTGGAATACTTTTGGAATACCTGAAATACTTTTGGAATATCTGGAATATTTTCGGAATATCTGGAATATCCACAGAATGTCTGGAATATCCTTACAATATCTGGAAATTTTCTGAAATATTTTGCAGTTTGTACATGGAATATCCAAGAGTGGCCCACACCTCGCGCTTGACAACTTGTTTGCTTTCCCCCTCCTAGGAGTGGCATCGCAAGTGCTTCAAGTGCCGCGACTGCACCAAGCAGCTCGACTCCATGCTGGCCTGCGACGGCCCCGACAAGGACGTGTACTGCAAGACCTGCTACGGCAAGAAGTACGGCCCCCACGGCTACGGCTTCGGCGGCGGCGCCGGCTTCCTGCAGACGGACGGGCTGACGGAGGACGAGATCTCGTCGCAGCGGCCCTTCTACAACCCGGACACCACCTCCATCAAGGCCAGCCCGGGGCAGGGCTGCCCCCGCTGTGGAGGCGCCGTGTTCGCCGCCGAGCAGCAGCTCGCCAAGGGCACGGTGAGTCCTCGCGTTCTCGCCAAGGTGCTCGCCGAGGCCGTGGACGACGCGTCCTCGTCGAAGTACTCGCTGTGTCCCTTGGTCCTCTCTGAGACCCTCTCCTAGGTCCTCATGGCGGTCCTCGCTGTGGCCCTCGCTGAGGTGCTCGATGAGGTGCTCGCTGAGGTCCTCGATAAGGCGTCCTGAGGTGTCCTCACTCAGGCCCTCGCCGAGGTCCTCTCTGTGCCGTTGGCCCCTCGTTTCACGCTTCTGTCTCCTCCCCTGCCCTCAACAGATGTGGCACAAGAAGTGCTTCAACTGCGCCGACTGTCACCGCCCGCTGGACTCGATGCTGGCCTGCGACGGCCCCGACAAGGAGATCCACTGCCGCGCGTGCTACGGCAAGAAGTTCGGGCCCAAGGGCTTCGGCTACGGCTTCGCGCCCACGCTCGTGTCCTGCCACGGCGAGTCCACCTGCCAGTTGTGAGTACTTCTAGCCGGGGGAGGGAGAGCCCCTCTGGCGGCCGTCGTGTCATCCGGGACCCTGTTGCTGGAGCGAACGCCAGTCGTAGTGGAAGGGGTAGCTGCATGTCTCATTCTAGTGGCCAGGGGTAGTGGAGGGGGTAGCTGCATGTCTCTCATTCTAGTGGCGCGGAGGCTACAGCGTTAACGCTAATCAGAATAACAAACCCATAACAAACGGCAACAGGGTCTCGCGGTTTAAACAAAACTTTTAAGTGTGTGCGCTAAAACCTGGAGGGTATCCTTAGAAAGATAAGTAGTCGGTGTTTGTAATACGACCGACATTGAGTCTTGCGCGGATGTTAAATTTCACGCACGTACCAATGCACTACTTGAGTTGCAATAATGGGCGTTTCGGTATCGGTTCGATGCCATTTTTGAAATTTGTTTCGATACCTCGGAAAGAACGACAGCGGAAAATGAAGTACAAAGTTCTAGAGTTCCTCTTCGCCCACCACTGACGCGGCCCCCCGCAGCTCGGCATACGGGTCGCGCACTCGCCTCGACCCCAACAACCCCCGCCCCTGTCGCCCTTCTCGTAACCGTAAACACTGCCTCTTTAGAGGCCCAGCTTGAGCTAACTGCTGCCGCGGACGAGCGTCCCGGGGCCGAGGCCGGGGCCGAGGTCGGGGCGTGTCCACAAGGGCCACTAGGTGCCCCCCGCCCCGCCTCAACCCCGCCAGCAGAAAATCAGTGTGCACACTTAAAAAAAAATAATAAAAAAGAAAGAAAAAAAACTTAAAAAAAATAATCAGAAAACAATTTTAAAAAATCAAGAATATTTTTTAAAAAGTAAAATTTAGAAAAAAAAATTAAAAAACAGAAAAATTGGTGCACGCTTGAAAATATTGAGGGTAACCTCTCGGTGGTCCGTCGGCCCGGCCGGCGGTGCGCCCCCGAGGAAGCCGAGGAGGCCCTGTATGCGCTGCTCGGGGGCGCCCCCAGTGTGCTAACCCCCTCCCTGTCCGGGGTGTGCGCGGCCCCTCGCCGCCGAGCCCAAAGTCGGTCGCAGTCAGTGGTGGAGCGTTAGAGGTTCCCTTTCTCTCCCGGGCGCCCGTGTCGCGACGGTCGCCCCCTCCTCCAGGGGTTTCCCGCGATCTCTATGCAAATGTTGCAGCAACGACGCGCGGCCGACGCACGGCGCCCGCGCCCAGGAAGGCAAGGGCTGCCCCCGCTGCGGCTTCGAGGTGTACGCCGCCGAGCAGATGATCAGCAAGACCAGGGTGAGTGGCCGGCAGCCTGTCAGCTGTCAGCTGTCAGCTGGTTGGTGGGAGAGGGTCGTCGGTCGTCAGCTCATCGAGGGAGGGATGCCAGCTGTTTGGGGAGGGTTGTCGGCTGATCTGGCAGGGTTAGTCAACAACTGATCGGCAAAGGTTTTCAGCGGTTCGGGGAGGGATGTGAACTGCTTGGGAAGGGTTGTCAGCCGAAGTCAAAGGGTTTGTTAGCTGATCGGCAAGAGTTGTCAACGGTGCGGGAAGGGCTGGCAGCTGATCGGGGAGGGTCGTCAACGGTTGGGTGGGGGGATGACGGGTTGCCAGCTGATTGGAGAGGGCTGTCAACTGGTTGGAAGTGATGTCATCTGATCGGCAAGGGTTTTCAGCTGATTCTTTTTCGGGGGGGGGGGGGGGGGGGGGCTCACCTGGTTGGGAAGGGGTGTCAGCTGATGGGCAAGGCCTGTCAGATCATTGGGTAGGGTTGTCAGCTGAATGGGGACGCTGGCCAGCTGTGCCGACCACTCGACTGACTTGCACCTTGCGTCCCGTTCCAGATCTGGCACAAGCGGTGCTTCAACTGCCGCGACTGCGGCCGCTCGCTCGACTCCACCAACCTCAACGACGGCCCGGACAACGACATCTACTGCCGCGGCTGCTACGCGCGCAACTTCGGCCCCAAGGGCTGCGGCTTCGGCATCGGCGCGGGCGCGCTCACCATGGCGTGAGCTGGCTCACCATCGTGAGCGCGTGCTCACCGCGCACGCTCACCGCGGCGTGGGCGTGCGAGCGGCGGCGGCAGCGGGCGCGGCGGGGGAGGCCCCGAAGGTCCCCGGCGAGAGCGAGCGACGAGCCGATGAAATGCGCGAAATCATTGGGTTTGCTGAAAGAAATACAATAACAGCCACGCGAGAAAAATATAGATAATAAAATGATAAGACGGAACCAAACGAAGCGGGAACCTCCCGACATAGTTCTGCGACGGAAGGGCGACGCTCTATATAAGCGAAGGGAACGCCATCGGCCTCGTCGCAGTTTCGTCTGCTCAATATTTGTTTGCTACATATACATTATTTCAGAGCGATGTACTAATTGTTGTGCAACGAAAATTTCACTAGCGCTACGTTGCTGTTTTTATTTTTTAATTATTATTATTATTTCTAAACATATAAATCTGCTATTTGCGCAGCCAAAACGTTACCAAATTTTATCCCAAAGGATTGATTGGGAGAAAATGGTTTGGTGTGAAAGGTGCTCTCGCGTCCAAGTTCTACTGCTGTGATAGCTCCCGTTTCACTCCCAGCAACGGGGGGTATGAGAGACTGAAAGAATTCTGAAGCAGAACACCTTTCAAAAAGACTTCTTGCATGTTTTATGTTTTGTTTGTATTTATAAAACTGGCACAGTGGTCGGTGGATGCACCTAGTGGAACCTTTACAGGACAACAGCAGAATGTGTGTTAAAAATATTCAGTGCAAATTTTGCCTCTTGTAAGTTCTACTAGGGCAGGCTAGGGACAAGTCCTTGTTAAATTAAATGATGAATTAATCCATTTATATGTATCAAGTTCTTGTCTCCAAATACAGAAGATACCTCTGCTGCAAGCATCACTGATTCAATGTTTATTATATCTGTAACTAAGAGGGACCATTGCTGAGATAACGCTACCATTCCAACCAGACCACTGTGTCAGACGTATATATAAATTTTTGTGAATGTGTTGGTGTAGGGTAAGTGAATGGATTATATTCGGACAGGAGCCACCATGTCGCTGGTGAGCAGCGGATTTTTTTCTAAAAAATCTCAGCAACCTCAGCTGATACTGAAAATTGTTAACTGATGAATGTCATAATATAGTTTCCAAGTTTTGTCAAGAGTAAGTCTTATGCTTTCCATGTTATTATAAAACTTACTTAAATTTGCTTTCTGCTTATGCTTCCCTCTCACTTCAGTGACATGATTGTTCGAATAAGCATCCACATACTAGTGCACAAATGCATTTTGTAAAAAAACTAATGAAAGAACTTTGTACATGGCTTTGTGAAGAACACCGCAGTTGATTAAGTGCCAGAGTATGTTTTACCATCTGAAAATCCAATGCTTAAAATTTTGATAAGAGTAAGTCCGTACAATATTAGCTTTGCAAATTTGTCAGGATGCCATTTCTGACAGAAACGAACGACCAGGTGTATTACACCTGTTGAACTTCCATTTAATCATCTAAACTTTATCTTGTGTATTTTTGATTGCCTATCGCACAAGGCAATTTCAATGGAAGTATTTGACTGGGCACAAGTCCATGTGTCTAGTACCTAACAACCAGATGGGCAATTTTGCTTCAGTGTCAATAAAAAGCATGATATTATTACTAAGCTAATTCTTAAATCAACAAAGAAGACCTCTCAATATGTTCTCAAGTCATCTGAATAAGAGGAGGAAATAGAATAAAATTGTAAGTCTTTCATAACTATAAAAAAAAAATAAAGCAAAATCATGATCTGATTTAAGTTGTGCATCATTTTGAACCTCACCAATTTGAATCTCACACAACACAGACTACATGTTTTAAGAAAAGAAATAATTTTATTTAACAAAACTTTCATTATTATTACCAAGCATTTTTAGAATACCATTGCCTTGCATTAGAATCCTGACTTCTACCACTCTCTCCTTTTTTCTTGTTTTTATTTTTATTCTTCTTTTTCTTTTTCGAATCAGGAGTTGGGCTATAGTTTCAAAAATCAAAAGATTCAATAAGTATGAGGCACTAACGTTAGATTAGAAATATAGATGCTTAAGCTGATTTATTTACTGTACTTACTTATTAGTTGGAGTTTCTATCTCTCCAGCTGTGAGTGTTGTTGTCTCTTCTTCCTCACTGTCATCCAAAACTAAAAACAAAAATATTCATTGATTACTACAACACTGAGAGCAATGACATTACTTAAGTACCTTTGCATTTTTCAGATAGGAGCCCCAAATTACCTAAGGTCTCCACTTTTTTCATTCGTTCCTTTTCCTCTTTAGTGAGTTCTTGCACAACTTCTAGTTCATCATCATCAGAGTCATCAATTGTAGTAATTTCTGGTTCAATCTTGGATGTTCTTTGCTGGTTCTTTGTTGTAATTTTGGTCTGAATCACGGATGCCCTGGGCTGGTTCTTTATTGTTTCTCTGCGATTTGCAGGGAGATGTACAACACAGGTAGGGTCATCACTGTCATTGTCCTCCTCGTTGCTTTGGTTCTTCTCATTGTTGTCTGATAAATCTTCCTTCATTTCTTCATCTGTCTCTCCACCCATCTCATCATCCACATCCTGTTAACAATGAAATTCAAAGTGAAAGAAAGCTATTCCATTTTTACCATGTAACAAATGTAACTTCAACAAAAATTTTACAAGCTTACTTGTAGCTCTGCAGAGTTCTCTCCAATAGAAACAATAATTTTCTCAGAAGGAGCTAAATAAAAGAGATCAACAAAATTGTAAGAAAGGCATAAGAAAAATGGTAAATGAATGAAAGAAAAGTGTGACTTACTGAATTCTACAGCATTTCCCTCATCATCAAACTTAGTGTGCTTGTTCTGTTGCCTCTGTGCTATTAAGTTTTCAGCAACTTCCTGAATAGACTGGGAATTAATTTTTATCTTCATACGCTGGTCACATAGAGTTGTGATCCTTCCAGCCCTTATGCATGCTGTTAGTCCCACAACTTCATTTTTAGTCCTGAAACAACAGAGAATAGACTGTTAATAATATAAAAACCTATTGGTATTTTGTACACACTTATAAAACTGGTAATATATCCACAGATAATAGATTAATTGTTAAGCTACCTACCTAGCTTCTTCATCTTCTGCAAGAGCTTTTTTGATGAGCTGAACAATTTCAGCAGCAGAGGCTCCTGCTTTTTGAACTATTTTAAGAATTGACTGATGGTCACTTAATGCCTGACCACCTAGATGCAAACCACACAGCTCTCTGTAGGCGTTCATACCAACACTCAAACTAGCTTCTGCAGTTTGCTCTTCTATCAATGTGGGATCGGCAACAATTTGCTTCCTGCAACAAGAGAGTTCAGATTGTGAGAAATATTTTCCACCTGGTCTTAAAAGTTTCTATTGATATTAAATTTTCTCATACAAACCCTTTATTGAAGATGGCATAAGTTAAACAAATGGGAAAGTGATGTAAAGCAGTTTGCAGTGGTTCCTTTTCACTTGCATCATGGATAATGAGTCTATCACCAGTTGATGTGACATCTGGACGTCTAAAGTGAGCAAGTGCAGATAAAGCAGCAATTGATGCACATTCAACAATATTTCCTTCCATATTTAAAACGGTCAGATCTACACGTAGCGCCCACACCTGAGAAAACAGTTGTTCACTTTAATTCATGTGGAGGACATAAAACAAAAGTTAAAAAGGTACACAGCGAAGAAAGACATTGTACCTTCTCCTCAGCAATTATACAGAGTGACTCCAGGTCAACACACTTTGATTCTCTAATACATTTTTCAAGTACTCTTGTAACCTCAACACATGCTTCTGATGGTTTTCCTGGTTCAACATGTTCAGCTGACATTGGGCTGAACTCAACGTTAACAAATACCTGACCTTCATTAGGTCTGGTCGATTTTGGCTGCTGAATTTCACTGGAGACCTGTGCCAGCACTCTTCAGGCAGAAAGACATAAAACATTAAAACTTCATCAAAAAATACTACAGATCATTTCAACATGTTACTGCTAACCTTGTGTCACCTAGGGCTACATGACAACAGCCATATTCTTTACCAAAATTAATCCGAACAGACCTTCGGTCATCAAAAGATCTGCCATCTAGCCGCTGTAATTAAATGGATTTACAATAGTATGTGTGGCAAAAGGTTTGTGATATACAACATAAAGGTAATAACTTAAAGCAAGAAATAAATATATAAATGTGTCAAAAATCAAATATTGGTGAAAATAATGCACAACATAACCTAAACAAAAACGTTGTTTTCGTTAAGAATGGCTGATTACCTTGCGTTCAGAAAGAGCTGTTTTCAAAAAGTTTTTTTCAATATTGGAATACGGTGTTTCTTTCATCGTGACCTTTTATTGCACTTCAGTATTTTAGAATTCCACTTCCTAAAAATTTCAAGTTAAAGTAACTTTTTGAACACAAACAGACCGCATGCAAAGCAAAGACCTCACTGCGTTTACGTAGATTTTTCATTAGCACGACGACAAGGGGGTGGAAGAAGGGGTGGAGGGGAAGGGCAGGGGGAAATGAAAGGTGAGGAAGAGGAGAGGAGGAGGCGGAGGGGAGGAGAGGAGGGGAGTTTGGTTTTCAAGTCAAGCCAAGTCGATCACACTCAAATTTTGAAATTTGGAAAGAATAATTTAACGTGTTTAAAGTGTTGTCATCATTGAGGTGCACCTTCCCTGAGTTAAAGCAACCCTCCTCGTCGCTTGTCTAATGTCCGAAAAGAAGATCTTGTGCATTTGCCTCGGTAATAGCTTCCTACTTAACAACTTCAGTGTGGCACTTGCCACATTTCTTAGGTTATACATTTTGTCTTAATCTCTTTTACTTGACGTTAGTTATGCCTGATATCGGATGGATATCAGATTATGTCGGTCGCTAGTCGGAACTGGTCGAAAGCATATATTGTGTTTATCATTATCTGTTATTTATATATTCTTGCACTTAAATTTCGTATTTAATTATACATTTTCTCAGATTGTCTATTTTGTTCCAGGCAACATATGCCGATCGCCAATTGCAGAGGCGGTGTTCGCCAAGTTGATTAAAGAGCGGAACTTGGAAAGTCAATGGAGCGTCGACAGTGCAGCTCTGGGCCCGTGGCATGCTGGCAACAAGCCGGATCATAGAGCTTTGTCAACACTGAAGAAGCATAATGTACCGTATGACAATAGGGCACGCCAGGTGAGACTGTGTTTCAATTAATTACCAAAGACTACCTAATTCCCTTGTCCAAAATAAAGTAATTATTTTATATTTTATCATAGATAACTAAGGAAGATTTCAATAAATTTGACTACATTTTTGGTATGGACGACGACAACATGTCATCACTTGAGAGGAAAGCTCCTGAAAATTCTAAAGCTCAGTTGCTTCTTTTGGGATCCTTTGATCCAGAGGGCGATCGCATTATTCGAGACCCTTACTATGTAAGTTTGCCACAGGAATCTATTTTGTACTTCCGTTGTTTAAAACACCATCAGGTTTTCTGACACGTGTTGTTTTCCATTTAGGACGATGGTGACGCAGGGTTTGAAAAATGTTATCAGCAGTGCATGCGGTCCTGCTCTGCATTTCTAGACAAGCTGGTCTAGCTTACTCTCTAAATCAACTGTGATTTCTACTGCATTCCCTTGTGGCTTTTAATTAAAATTTCTTTGGTATTTTAATAAAACAAGAAGCAGCCTTACTCAAAGGATTCTGCAGCATCATTTCCTTTTGTGAGTACAAATATTTACAACCAAATTATACAGAGTAGTATTGTGTAATGCTTCTGAAACAGTACTATGTATGGTACTGGAGTGGGAGCTTATTTTGTCGCTAAAATCAGACAATGACGACTCTGAAATGTGATGCCAAGTAGCTGAAAGCTACTACAAGAAAACTCAGCACATTTGATTTCCTTTTCTAAAATAAACAACACTATCCACTTTCTCGTTTTGCATGTAATGCACAAATGTGTAGAATATTGCGACATTCAGGAGGCTTACTGTTCCCTTTCCTTCCTTGGAAAGTGCTCCAAAAAATTATCCCGAGAGAGCGGTGTTAAAGTTTCCATCCATCTGTTTTAATTCTATCCTTAAAACGTCCAGCAAAAGGCCGCCACTAGTTATAGGCACCCCCCCTGCATCCTGCGTGAATAATTGTATTGTCATAGACTAAGTGTACTGGGATACTATTAGGTAAAGTATACTGGTATACGAATTTTATGCGTGCGTGGAGTATCGCCGTCGAAGTCTCTCGACGCTACTCCGCGTCTGCCGCAGTGCCCGCATTGCCTTGGCCGGCCGCCAGC